TACTAACCGTCCTACAGCTCTCATCCTGCCCTCTCCAATGCCATGCTGAGTATGATGTACATCTGACTTAAAACAAAAATTCCAGATCACCATTTTTAGTGACTTTTCCCATGAATAATACCGCTATTTTCTTACTAAGTCTGAAACTTCTGACTTTGTCTCCTTTCTGGTGTCCCTTATTATTGCAAAAATACTAATGGTGTCCAAAAGTCTACCCAGCATACAGCTGCAAAACCAAGTGTTTCATTCAAGACCATATTTTCAGCTCTGGTTTCTGTAATTTCTTCTTCCCAAGATCCAGTTTACCCAAAAAGTCAAAAACCTGGGATCCTAAGGCATTTTTCCTCACCAGTCTCTCTACCAACCTATCTCTCCAGATTCTTCTACTGGTTTCTAGTTTTCCAGCATCTAAATTAAACTCCTGAACCTTCTTCTCAAGACAACACAGTAGAGTTGATCCCTCCTGTGTCTTAATACATCAGTCTGGCCCCCTCCAGTCCATTAACAAAGCAACTGTCCATTCCCTCTTGGCTCGTTTAGTCTACAAGCATCTTTTCCCATCTCCCTGTGCTTGGATCACTACTGGAACCCTTCTTCCAAATCCCAAGACTCGGTCTTCTGATGACAGCTCAGGCAGCTGTCAATTGGCAATTTACCAAAATGGCTTCACCAAAATTGATGAAATTCTCCTCATTAATATCTTCTAAGAAACAGCTGCTCAGATCTATCCGTTATGCCTACTGGCAGTGTCTGTAACAATAAATTCACCCACCTCTCCTCTGTTACATTGGCACGTTTCACTTTTCATCATCAGTTCCACTCCCCGTGCTTGCACAGCTCCGTGACTACGAGCCCAGATTTTGACTGCCATCTCCGGGTATTCCCACCGCATTAACACATTGCACAATGTCAATACAAAACCCCCAAATATTTCTATCCACTTTTATCTGCAAGTTTCCATTCTTCAAATACTAAGCTCCATCGATATGGTACAGAGGGTGTTTCAGCCTGTTTGTGCTTCGTGCAGAACCCACCTGCCAATCCGTGTCAGCAGAGGAATTTACCTGTCGAAGTTCCACCTACCCTGATGACTTCCACAGCCCAGAAGAAACCCCTTACTAATGCTCCTGCATTACATCTATTTCCTTTCCCTTGCAGAGCACAGCAAGTTAAATCCCAGCCCTCCCCTGCAGTTTCAACGTCATTCAGTGTCCACATCCTCCCCCAGGTCCCACAGCGGTTGAGCCTATGGGCCTCATTAATTAAAATGGGGAGTTACACCGTAAGCGAGGATAAGGTTTGCTCTTTTTGCCTGGACTGCCCTAACTGCGGGCTCTGGGGGGAGTTGGATGGCCAGAGAGAGGTACTGAAGAGAGGAAAGCACAAGCTTCATCTGAACAAAGGAATTACTGTTCCTGGGAACAGAGGGACACAGAAAATGAAATTCAAAAGCAAAATAACCCAACTGAAAGAATCTGTTAAGATTAGAAGAGCAATACCAACACTTGGTGCATTAAGAAGCACCTAGTAAACCTGGAAGAGGTCAATTCATCTGCCTCGAGGCTGTTGTCGAAGAGATGGATTTTGACACTCACAAGACAAGGAATACTCGGCAACTGGCTCCTCGAACGACAGCTGTGACACCTGCAGGACTGAGGTACAGTAGCGTTACCCTCAGCATCTCCCTTGAAAGGGTCACACCTGGAACGCAAACTCTCCTGACCACACGCAACGCAGCAGCGTGTTTACTCTCATTGAGGAATGACACACTTATAAGGAATTCACAGACAGAAAACTCACACATATGTGCGACTTGAATTATTCCACAGGAAAAGGAAGACAGCAAGACGCAGGGCCAGCAAGCAGGAGGTGGTTGACGTAGCAGCTGTTTGTTGTCCGCAAACAAACCAGGCTCCTGTTTGCTGCCTCCCGATGAGGGAGCGCTGGGCTGCTGGGGAGCACCCGGATCACGTATGCTCAGGCACCACAGAACAAGTGGGACACGGCAAACTGGTCCGGGCAAACTGGGACGTGGCAGGTAATGAGGCAGCGGGCATGGAAGGGGGTGTGGAGGTGCTGCTCGAGGCTGCATGGGTCTGCAAGATCGGTGCAATCACGGCGGTGACATGCAAGAGGGCATGGTCCCCACCACCAGCTGGGACAACTAGATCTGGCACATGGGAGGCCTCGACCCACGTGGAGCTCCTGGGAGAGGGCATGGTCAGCCAGGGCCCCAGCTGCACGACTGCCTGGTGCTTCTCCTCGGAGGACAAAATGGTCCTCACCCACTGCAGGTGCACTCACATCAAGGCACTGAGCTGCCAGGCGATGGGAGTTATGGGCAGAGGTGACAAGACAATGTAATGTTATATTCCGGATGAACAGAATTTCAACAGGTTTTGTTTTTTGCAGGAACCATGGAAACAGTCAGGGTTTCCTGGACTCTGATTTTGCATGGAAGAAGGGATAGCCAGAGACTGCACAGGAATTAGAGGATGGAGACTCTTGAGGGGGGAGCAGCTGGAAGTTGCAACATGAGAAAAGCTCTTTCACCACCAGGAGATGTGCACTTACAGAACGGGCGTAATGGCTTGGCAGTAACAGGCCAGGAGGAACAGGTTTCCTCAAGGGAGGCGTCGGAGCCTGAAACTTGCCCCAACGAAAGAGGCGGCAGCAGATGAGCATGGCTGGAGACTCCCTTCTGCAGGGAATGACGAACCCACTCACCGGCCAGATTTGCTGTTTCGACAAGCACGCTGCTTGCCAGCAGCCCAGCCTCCCCAGCACGTGGGGAGACTGCCAAGGCTCGGCCAGCCCCTGGCTGACCACCTCTTTCTCCCGATGCCGTGTGTGCACCGGTACCACTGCCAAGGGACATCGCAGACGTGTCAGGAGGAACTACAGGGCCCTGCTAGGGCGAAGCCCTGGGTCAGTCCCTGTGCTGCCTGGTTCAACTGACTCAAAAGCTGAGCTTTGGCTTTCCTACCACATCCCTGCCTGCTCAGGCAGCCTCTCACTGCTGCTCCTGGGTGCTCCGTCCCTGCTCCACCATCTTGGCGCTGTCTGCGCACGCGTGAGCTCAGGCAGGAGTGTCCTGCTCACCCACGCAGGAGGAACCTAGACACGCTGGAGAAATGACCTCAGAGGAACCTCAGAAGATCAAGAAAAGGCTGAGAGGGCCCTTAGTGGACCTCTTACACCTGGAGTGAGCATTGTGCCCCTGAGGGCAGCCAGCAGCATGACAGCAGGGATTGCTCCTTTCCATTCTGCACCAGTGAGAGCCATCAAGATACCAGGTCAGGCTGGGGCTCACCAGCACAGGACAGGCATTGCAATAGTGCAGCAGGTCCCGTGGAGGCCCCTGCGATGGTCGGGGCTGGGGCACATGAGGTCAGAGGAGAGGGTGAGCGTAGGGTTTGCGCAGCCCAGAGAGGAGAAGGCGATGGGGAGACCCTACTGTGGCCTGCGGCTGCTTAGCAGGGAAGGGAGAGAGGATGGAGCCAGGCTGCTCTTGGAGGTGCTGGGACAAGAGGCACAAGATGCAACATGGGAGATTCCAACCGGGTATTAGGGAAAAAAAATAAATCTCCACTTGATGGTGATCAAACACTGGAAGAGGGCTCAGGCAGGTCTCCAATTCTGGAGATATTGAAAACCCTGGATAAGGCCTCGAGCAATCTATTTAATGGGACCTGCTCTGCAGAGGCAACTGGACCTTCCCGGGGGCCTTCCAACTTGCATTGTCGGATGAACAAATCTTTGAGGTCTTGCAGAGTCAATGCTCTAAGAAAGTCTGTTATATTAGGACTTCAACAAAACTTAGTTTTCTAAAACCTGCTGAAAATATACCTAATAACAGTGTGACTTTGGCTTGGATATTCCTCATCAGCCACAGTAAAAGAAAGATCGTGATTTATTACTTAAGATGGTAATTAAACAAGGGGCTCTGCAGCCATCAACAGACCAAGTTCTCTACTCTCTCAAGGATCACAACACCAACAGTCACCTCACCAAAGTGCTGACATTAAACATCCCTGAGGACTGATCGTGCTGCAGGACAATTTTTCTACAAAAGAAAGATATCTGTGTAGTCTAATCAAGCCCTGGGAGCCACCATTTCTTTAGGGTAAATACAGCACGAAGAACACACTCTGTTTATTCCTGTAGTTTAACTGTGAAAGCAACAGAAAAAAGCAGGACAACAGGTGGTAGGGTTTTTTTCCTGTGTTATGACCACTATCCATGTTAGACTGACAAAAAGGGTACATGAACATGCAGACCAAGGACAGGCTTCTTTGATGCCACTTATCTGTCCTGGTATTAAAAATGCTTCAAGAAGCAACCCGTATCTGAGCTTTCTTGCTGCATGAGAAGTAAATTATTTAAAGTCAATACTATTTCTTTCACAAATCCACAGAGACATTTCAGGACCAAATGACACCGATCAAAGTGAATATGCTGTCATCCATCTGCACGATGTCAGAGTTGTCCTAAGATATCAAAACGTGGGTGCCTGAAAGACAAGCCTGCTGGAACGACCTCCTTAGAGGACCCTGACGAAGACTCCTCTAGTAGTTTCAATTGAGAGAGTCCTGAAACGGGGGGCAGACAGGGCTGTAAAGATGCAACGCAGACAACAGATTATGTCGCTTACATTGCACCTACCCGCGGGCTGCTGAATCTGGAGGCTTCCTTGTACAGTGGTGCTCCTGTCCAGCTCAGGACAGAAGTATGGAGGAAAAGCATGTGCTAACAAGGTTTCTTCCTGACAGCACAGCTCTCCAAACCAACAAATCCAAGCTACACAAACAAAGACTTTGTCTGTCATGCATGGACAGAAGGAAATGGATAAAGAATTGTCATATTTTCATGTTAACAGTATGCCCCCAAGGCATATCAAGGAAGACAAAGGGGAAAACCACTGCAAACTGTAGTTCTGCAAACAGTTCAAAAGAGCCACAAAGCTGATCCGAGGGCTGGAGCACCTCTGCTATGGAGACAGGCTGAGAGAGTTGGGCTGGTTCAGCCTGGAGAAGAGAAGGCTCCAGGGAGACCTTAGAGCCCCTTCCAGTCCCTGCAGGGGCTCCAGGAAAGCTGGAGAGGGGCTGGTGCCAAGGGCAGGGAGTGACAGGCCAAGGGGAATGGCCTGAAGCTGCAGGAGGGGAGATGGAGATGGGATCTGAGGCAGAAATCCTTCCCTGTGAGGGTGCTGAGGCCCTGGCAGAGGTGGCCCAGAGAAGCTGTGGCTGCCCCTGGCTCCCTGGCAGTGTTCAAGGCCAGGTTGGATGGGGCTTTGGGCAACCTGGGCTAGTGGAGGGTGTCCCTGCCCATGGCAGGGGTGGCACTGGGTGGGCTGGGAGGTCCCTGCCCACCCAAACCACTCTGGGATTCTATATGGATAGAGGAATCAATCAACCAGAAGCCGTTAAACACAAGATGACAATACACAGGACAAGAAGAAGTTAATTAAGTGCACACAAACAAACAAGTGCAGCTCAGAAGCTTATCACAGGATAGATCGACTGCTGTTTGATAATGGGTGCACAGCCTTATGATTACCATCCGATACACTGCTCAACGGACCACGTTCTCCACAGTTAGGAGTGGGAGAAGAGTGGCTAAGCCGGAGTGAGAACCTGGGAAGATCAGCCAACTGCAGCTGCATTAGTTCCTGAAACATTAATAATACTACTTTTCCTCTTGCTGAAACTCCAAAGAGCCTGATACCTCTCTGAGTTGCCCAGCAGCCCAAAGAAACATGAAGACTGCTTCAAGACAGAGAACCATTCACATTCATTCGAGCTACAAACAGTATTTTTTTCCTGATGTGATGAAAAGTTAAAGCAGTCCATAAAGTATAAGTTTTATTTCTAACACCTACCAAAAATCAAGATTGCAATTTAACTTTTCTAGAGACTTATGTTTCTGAATATATTGCCAAAATTGCTGGTAAGTGGCTTCTCTAAGCATTTAATCCCAAATTTCAATATCGCTACTACTTTCTGGTTTTCTGACATGTCCTTAAGCCATCAAATTTTTAAATGCTTTGGGATAATACTTATAGTAAGACTTGTTTTGGAAAAAAAACCACAACCCTTCAGGAGCACCTCCAGTGCCAGCTGGTATCTTCAACTTCATTTTTCTGACTGTGTGAAAACAGGTGGAATTAACCGAATAGGATGGGTTAAATATACCCCATCCAGAACTGCCTGTTTGTGTGTGGTTAATATTTGGAGGTTTCCTGGACGGAAGCCATGCTTCCAAGAAAAACGCTACTCAGTTAAAATGCCATTTTAACATCACAAGAAAAAATAATTGCATTTATCTTCGCAATGATATTATGCTGCACTACTGTGATGTCTGCCCTGCACTGGTGAGCCCCAGCCCGGCCCCAGTATCCTGACGGATGTGACCGGAGCTGAGCAGAGGGAAGCAATCCCTGCCCTCGCCCCTGAGGCCATCATGGCCTGGGGTGCAGTTGGACCTTTTCTGCAAAGCTGCTTTCTCTTCCATAGAATCCTCCATTATTATCCTCCGTCAGTCCACCTCTTGAAGGCTTTTTCCTCCCATCTCCTTTCTTCGTATTACTATTTGATGTCAAAAAATGAAGACCTCCTTTCATGGGTGAATGCCCATCCGAGTCCATAAGGAACACTTTGTGCCTGTCGTTTTTGCTTGTGTTCTGCACTACGCACGGGAAGGTTGAGAGGAGGAATCAAGCGATGGGAATCGTCTCTCCCAAGCCTCTGCAATGAACATTTACTGCTCAGCTACCGCATGGTCAATGCTCCGGACACACAAGACTTAGGCAGCAAAGCTTGCCAAACTTAGAAATCCCGGTGTGGGCTTCAATGACTTGAGTTCTGTTTTCCATACGGCACACTGCTCTCCTGCTTTACTGAGAGAGCTAAAGTAGGTTTTTCCCTCCAATCCTGCACATCTGCCCATAAAGGGGTGCTGATGCAGCCTCACCCAGACTGGGCCATGAAGGGAGAAAAACTCGTCCTACCTGTAGAGCAAAGTAAGCGGCTCAATGAGATATTTTATAAGGCTGCCTATTAAAGAGGAAGGGGAAGGAGGAGGCACGAGATAACATCTCCAAAAATCACATACGCTGAGAGGAATTAAACAAATTACTGTCCCAAATGATCAGTCTGAAATTCCAAACACCAGGAAAGATTACAAATTTCCTTTGTCATAGCTCTACAGCAAAACCAGCTAGAGTAAATAGTGGTTGCTATATGGAAAAACAAGTTGAAAATCATTCAGCACCAGTGACTGAACCAGGCTTGCTCTGCCGTGCAAGCCACAAACAGGCTGAAGCACCCAAAGTAACCAATGTGAAAGAAAAGCAGTTTTCAGAAGAGTGGATCTGCTCTCATAATAAATGACAAAAAGAATTCTATCTCTTTAAGACACAAACAAACCAACCCCCTTGTTCCCAATCCCGTAAAGAAAAGAAGTAGTCAATTCTCACATTCAGTACTTCCTGCCGTAGAGTCGCGGGCTCCACACAGCTGATTAGACGAAGCAGGAGGTCCATCATTGCTGATGTATCTATATGCTTTAGCACCAGGCTAATAAATTTGTCTTTTTTCCTTAAAAATGCAATCACCTAAAAATAAAAGCGTCATCGTCAGTTGCTAGTACAACATGCAGACATGGCACACAACTTCCTAGACTTTACTTTCTTGTCTCAACCAACCAACCTTGATGCAAAACAGTGACTGGGTTGAGAAATTCTCCAGAGAATGAGAGAAGAGAATAACATTCTCATTTCAAGGCGATACTCAATCAAAGCTCCTTAGCTATCTTTTCTTTCCTCTATGCCACAGAAGCCCAAGCCCGCAGAAATAAGAGCGCCAAGAAGCTGGGGAAGCTGGAGAATTTTCCATTCCACTAAGGCGCTCTGACAGCCTTCATTTCAAAAATCAATTTTGAATTGGAACGCGTATACTCCTAAAACACTGCTCAGCTCATGTTTCCAGCACCCCTTTTATAGGCATGAGGCTGAGGCACTGTTTATATAACGAGATGATTCTGGGCAATGATCAAAGGATGCATCAATATGCCTTTATACAAAAAATAGAGCTCTAGCTGTGGCACAGGAATATCCCAGCCACTGCAGATTCGAAACCAGAACTATGCAGAAATGTCTACATGAGCCAGCAGCTCCCTCAGCCGAGGAAGCCTGAAGCCCTTTGCAAAGCCTACGTTTCAGCTCCAACCCTAAAGAGTACAGCGAGCTATCTTTCAACTCTAAGAACACAACAAGCTCACGAGGGTAGCAATGCTACCGACATGCAACACAACCAACATATCTGAATTCATTTGTCTTACGTATCAGGACAAATCTAATCACTACCTGTTCCGTTTTTCTTGCAATGAGATTCCCAATAGTCTTACTGAAGAAACTGGCAAGCAAAGGGTTCAAAGGAGGCTCGTGATCCAAGAAGTCATAGAGGATGTTCAGCAGAGTTTCATCCCCTCCCAGCTTGTCGTTGATCTGTGGCACATCCGAGGTCAGCAGTTCGCAGGCTGTGTTTGGATACCTGGAAGGACAGAACCACAGCAACTAAAGGTGAAATGAAAACTCTCAAGGAAATTTTCTCTTATTAAAGTTATAAAGGAAGGAGTAGGAGGATTGCCCTTCCTGGAGACAGGGAAAAAGCCCACATGAGAAACAAAGGTCATCGACATTAATGGCACATTTTGAGGGAACACCATTTCCTGTGGCACACCGTGTGGGTTTTTAACCAGTAAATTATGCCTCTCGGCTGCCTTCAAGCTGCCGCTAGTTCTGATTTTGAAAAGCGATGCTTAATCACTTTCAATACACTTACAATCTCTTAAAATCTTTTAATGTACATCTATTTGCACAAGCAAAATTAACCCCAAAATTGAAGGTTGATCTGGAGAATGCGTATTTTAGCAGGTTTCTGGAACGTTTCTGAACAATTATTCTTTCTGCTACTGGAGCTGAATTAAAAATGGGCATCACTTTTTTTTTTTTTTTTAAAAATCAAAAGGACTAGAATTTAGGGACAGACCATTAGATCTAATGCAAAACTCCTAACAAATGAGCATGCACTCTGTATAAGAGCAAGCCATTCACAGCCAAATGAGTTTCAATTTTTCAGTAATATCTACAAACTTCTGTAAAATTAACTTGTTTTTCAGAAAATATTACTGTGCCTGGTTAAGATAATTTTGCTCACTTAAATCAGAATATGAAATTCTATTTGACAGCTAATGAAATTCTTTTTTTTTCCCAGACCTTGTTTCTTCCTCTTCCAGGTGGGGCTTTTAGAAATAGGCTGCATTTATGATCAGAATGGGCAATAACGTGTTTATAATTAATATTATGTTTACCATTGGGCAAAGTCTCAAATATCAGAGTGTTATACAGTTAGTTTTGCTAAAAGACTAAGGTTCCTCCGGTTGAACCTCCCCGTGAAAAGGCAGCTGCCCGCAGGGACACCCACCCAGCCTCTCGCTCCTCACGCGATGAAAGGGTTAAGCTGGGGTTAAGTCGGCGACCTGAGCCTGTCCTGCACGCATGCTAGGACGCTGAAATTCGTCTGGCTCTTTTTTCAATAGAGCCTTTCGTTGTTAGGTTAGTGCCTCAATGCCGTGTTCTAGCTACTATAGGAAAGGCTTACGGGAGCTCCTCAGAAAAAGACCTTCCCCCCCACCCCGGAGGTTTCCGCAGTCAGAAACAGCAGCTCAGTCGCGCTGTGAAATTCAACCCAGCACTGAACTTCAACGCTATTTCCACAGTTTCAATGATACATATGATCCCAGAGTCAGAAGGCAGCTGGACTTTATTTTTAAACCATGATTTACTTTTACCCCACTAATTGTTTAAGGACTCTGTCAGGGTGTGCTCGGGTGGTTCAGCGGTTCTGAGCACCAAACCTCCCGCTGCGCGCCCGTGCTTACTCGTGCTTCCTCAAGGAGTTTTCATTTGTTACCAACTGATACAGATTAAAAATAAACCCGGTCCTTTACAGTTTGAGTATTTTCTCTCTGTAAGCAGAGCTGGTTATCTTTCCCCCGCCCCCCCAAAGCAAAAAGAAAATTTACGATGTATTTTAATAACGATCAACTAAATGAATAACAACATTAAAAAACCTACAGAACAGTCTTGCTGCAAATGCATGTTCATTTTTTAAGTGGTACATTCACCTTCCAAATAAAAATCATGCCATTCCGTAAGACACAAACCCAAGAGATTTCCCACTTTCAGTACTTACCCAAGGTTTACCACTTTTTGTAACTTTAGACACAAGCCAACTCCAAGATCGATACAGAACACTCCTGCAATAATATGACTGTTTCTACAACGCAAAGGGGATACCTTCACTTTCGTAGAACAGTGATGCTGAAACAATTTTTGCCTCAATGGCAAAGGAAGAAACCTTGCAGAAAAGAGCTGTGGAAACCGTTAGTAACTCCCACAGCTCCACCACCTTTGCGGTGAGACCTGTGAGCATGTAACAGGATCTGGGCTGCAGCATTTATCTGCTGTGCTGTCCTCTTGTAATTGAAATCAGTTAGACTTCTGCTCTAAACCTCATTAACAGAAAATCAAGAAGAAATCTTAACACAACTCCCGAACTTGAAATGGGACCCTCTGCTCAGAGCTTCGGTCTCCCCCCCACCCAGACCCAGCACATCTCACACATCGGGCAATGTTTCCTCAGCTAATGCCCACCTATCACCAGGGAAGGAACAGCGGAACGTCGGTGGGGCTCTGGAAATTTCACCTCAGTTTGTGGAGCGACAAGAGGGACACACAGATGGCTGGAAATCACACAAAAGGAAGAGAGAGGAAAAAGATGGTGTCGTTTTGTGAATTCCCAGTGTGCCCATCTCTCCAGTGCAGCATGTCTGAGCACACCACGGGCTAAAGACGCTGCTAGGACCACTGTCACGGACCAGACCCCAGGAAAGGAAGGTCTCATCTGATCCCACGTGTGTTCTTGGCATTTGCACCTCTTCTGTGCAGAGACCTGCAGCTCTCCCTTCAGCTGCCTGTCCGTCCTGCGGGCTTGCCCTAGCCGTACCCAGGAGTTACGTACGGGTGGCTCTCATCCCAGCGGGACACCTGCCCTCGCTGGCAGGATGCTCTTCTGGCCTTTGGCTCAAGCTGGAGCTTCCTTTCCGTTGTTGTGCTTCCCAGTGCATTGCTGTGCCCACCTTTACCCTTAGTAACTGTTACTGGTTTGGTTCTCTTACACTTGCTGAACAGAATTTTTATTTTGGAAGAAATTCCATGCTTCAATCTTCTCAATTTAAGCCTTACTTTACTCATCACAGTTCCTTTGGTTCTTAACAAGGGAAATACTTCTTGCCCTGGCAGTATATAAAGGGTGAAGACAAGATTTACAGGACCACAAGAACTTTTCCGTACATACGCTGAATTGCTTCGTGTAGAGCCTTGTGCTTTCGATCACAAACACACACTTGCCTTCTCTACTGAGCATTCCCAGCACACTGCCCACAAGGACGCCAAAGCCTTCCCCAAGACTAGTAAAAGCTCATTTGAAGCCCATCAATGTGCACATGTAACTTGGGCCATCAGTCGTTAAACAATCAGCACTGACTGTATTTGCTTTATTACTCCCTGGCCATAGAACATTAAATCCCTCTACCTTTTAACTAACCTAGGTAATTTTGCATTACCAACTTTCTACCTTTATAATAATTTATTCCCCCTCTTATTTCATGTGTGAATACACCAAACAGCACAGGACTCAGCAGCGCAAAACCAGAAAGCTGGAACTGGCCATTTTCCCCTCATCTGTATTTATTTTCTTTAAACAGTTATTAACTGGTGACAGAACCCTTCTCTACTATCCCAACAGCTTGATGTCAACAGTCTTTGCTTTGATAAGGGACCTTATCTTTTCAGGACACATTCGGGACATCACCACAATCCACGTGTTTCAGTGACTCCATCGAACTCGGCTCCTGAACAGAAGCCCAACGTCCCTCTACAACAGCAGTACGGTCTGCATCCAGAGAGGTGTCTGTGGACACTAATGCTACACCATCCATTTTTCAACATGCACAATGCAGAAGCCAGATTCACTGGCTCACAGACCCTTCTTAAGAACTGGCGTGCCCTGTTTGCCACTTCCATTCCACTGGTTTTAAGGCTGACCGGGTAAGCAATTTCATATTTGAGTTCCTTTAAATCACTGGGGCGAACACCAGCCAGTCCTAGCAATTATTCCACTGATTTTGTTCCACAGGTGCTCCAGTTTGGGACAGTTCTCAGACTACTCCCCCGTAAAGACAGACACCATGTGGGAATCTCCCGAAAAGTCTCTGAAGTGAGCACCAACACAGCCAGTTTAATAGATTTTCTGCTATGGCCCTACCTTCCTTTACACTGGGATCACCTATCCACCCTATGCGTTCTCGGAGAGGCATCCTTATTTCGATGGGTTCAGAGTATTAGTGGTTTTGCTGTTAGAAACTGCTTCTCAAAATCCCATTGCTTATTCTCACAGATGAACTAGCCACAATATCCTTTTTCTGTATCTGGACACAACCTCCCTTTTGTGAGGATGTAATTATACCTGTAATGGATTATTTCTTTTGAACCAAGACCATTTTCTACATTAGGATTTTTTTAAAATCTTTGTATCTGCATTTACCATGAGCCACTAAAATGTTTCCCGGCCAGCTGTGAGCTTTTTACCCTTTCACAGCACCATTTACTTCCTAACCAGCCTCCTCTGATTTATGTAGTTCCATTCCTGAAAGTTAGAAAAACAAACCCCAAGCCCTTGATAATGGTGTTTATGTCATATTTGCTCCTACGAGGATGTTAAATCTGAGTACATTATAGTTGCTATTACAAGTGATTTTACAACAGTTACATTTCTTAGAGCCCCCAAGGGTATACGAGACTTATTTCTCCTTTTCTTGCTCACTGCTCCATGCAAAAGGCATTCATGATCCCTAGAAATTCATGCACCATGCCTCCCCGTAATATATATCCTGTCGACAGGGGGATAAATGAAACCTCTCATTGTTATAGCATGCTCTGCTCTTGCAGCCTTTACAGTCTCCCACACAGTCAGATCTAATACTTCACCCGTTCGGTTCAGGCACGGCACCCAACCCATACACTCTCCACGCTGCAGCCAACTTCTCCCCCTCAACACCCTGTCCCCTACAGCCCCCTCTTCGCCAGCAGAGTCCTCGCTGCCTTTCCTGGAGGCTGTACTCTCACCGCTGCATGGTCTCAACAGGTCTATGTCAACAAGTTCATTATAAATAGCCATTAGTACAAAGGGTTTACGCACTTTTGATTGCTGTAGGACTTCATGTGGTTGCTTAGTTCTGCGTGCTATGCTTAGGTGGGGATTTACTGTTGAGTTTTCCTCTCTGCAGTTTCCCTTCTGAACTTCATGAACTTCCATTCTACTGAGGTTTTGAGAATAAAGCGTTTTGATGATTCCATTGCCACAGCATGCATCATTCTGAGCTGCACATCCTTCCAAACTTATCAAGATTCTCCTGCGTTCCAGTTTAAAAACTTTCATAACCTTTTCTTAAAAGCCCAAAATTGGATTCCATTTGGATTTAGTCGAGGGTCCATTCCTCCTGCTTAGCTTCTACGTATTCCAAAAGCTTCCCCAGTTTCTAATAAGCTTAAACCCTCCTTCCCCTCTCCAGTGCCTCACCATGCTTTGAAAATGTTTCTCTGCCTGGTTGACCTATGGTACTGGAAGCATTTCCCAAAAAATGCTTCATAAAGATCAGCTGCTTGTCCTGACATCGTTGCCATCAAAGAATCACTTATCGCTACGGTGTATAACCACACTTCACCACCGCTACACCTGCTTTCGAGCGGACACCTTACAGACCACTCTCAAAAGAGGAAGAGGCTATAATGCCATCATCTAATGAAGAGGGCAGTGAATGAGACTGCTAACTTAAGGCCTTCCCAAGGCCAGACTTCCTTCTATGGTGCCAGCACAGGGGACCTCTCCCCACCAGGGTCCACCTTTGTCTGGGCCTCCTCATCAGCCAGCCTGGCCTCCAGCCGCCTAAACCACACGCTGCCCTCAAAAGCTCATGAAAAGGCACATAATCCTGCACGGGAAATTCAAGGACACGTGGAATAAACGCTGTCATACTGAGCTTCCCTTTTCATTTTGGTTTGCATTAAGGATTTTATAAGGAAGGCTCCTTAGAGCCCCTTCCAGTCCCTGCAGGGGCTCCAGGCAAGCTGGAGAGGGGCTGGTGACAAGGGCAGGGAGTGACAGGCCAAGGGGAATGGCCTGAAGCTGCAGGAGGGGAGATGGAGATGAGATGGGAGGCAGAAATCCTTCCCTGTGAGGGTGCTGAGGCCCTGGCACAGGGTGCCCGGAGAAGCTGTGGCTGCCCCTGGCTCCCTGGCAGTGTTCAAGGCCAGGTTGGATGGGGCTTTGGGCAACCTGGGCTAGTGGAGGGTGTCCCTGCCCATGGCAGGGGTGGCACTGGGTGGGCTGGGAGGTCCCTGCCCACCCAAACCACTCTGGGATTGTGTGATTTTGCTTCTTGAGAATTTTTTGTTTGTCCCCACCTTTCCTCCTTCTTAATCTGTTTGGTTACACTAGGAAAGGTTTCCCTTCCACCCTGTAGCACACAGATAAACTGTTTTCCAACAGCAGCCCCAAAAATCTCCAAAAGAACAGGACTTAAAAATATGGCCTGGTTAACTGAAGCGGTATTCTGCAGTGATACGGACACTGTATGATTTGGTACTGGAATCCCCCATTCCCTCCTCCGGTAAAGGACCGCAAGCCTTGCATTGATCAGCACTTCCTCTGCTCAGGGAAGCGTTGCCCGTCTCTTCAGTCAGACATTTGGGGTTTGAGTTTGTCTCAGGTTCGCTGTGCAAACAATACGGCTAAAGAGCTGCAGTAACACGGAGCCGCTCACCCACTGAAAAGCCAGTTATTCTGACAGGATACAGGAAGCGCCAAAAGTCAGAAGACTGCTGTGTGCCACGGCCCTGGTTTAGACCTGTACAGAATTTGCCTTTGTAGGACAAGAGCACAAAACAAATACTCCTGGGTCCTTCTGGTAATTCACCTTCTATAGCAGAGGCCTTGCAACAGCAGCCATATAAAACTCCAAGTCACTACATAATGTATTTCCCGGCATTCGCTTACCTGGAAATAGTTGCCTAAACCTAGTTGATCAACTACCTCAGCTAACAATAACTCTGAACAATACTATCGTTTCTTCTGTGGATTTCAAGCAACAGCAGCAATAACCAACGCTGATCCATTCCCACAGGGACCGACTCCCCCATTTTTATTTATTTATTTATACACAGAGCAGTCTTTTATTTTTACATAAACTTAACAAATAAAAACAAACTTCCCAAATCCAAAATGTAAATATTTTCAAGTATACATTCAGTTAAAAACGTAGAAACACAACTTGCTATGAGAACCAAACACATCTAAAGAGTTCACGACCATAGGAAAGAGGCCCTCTACAGAGTAAGGCCATCTCCTTAACTATATCATCACTGAAATCAGCAGGTTTTACATATGCAGCACACTGAAAATATTACATCTTTTATTCACTGTACAGTTCTCCTCCCTCTGTGGGCTTGAGTACTGAAAACCAATCAAGTTCAGAAATTTGTAACTCAGAGCAGAATGCTCTGTGCTTGCAATTTTGATAAAAACGTACTAAAGGTACTTTTGAGACACTGATTGCTTTGCTTGCAAAGTTTTGAACAAACAGCAAGAGATTTTTACTTTTTTTTTTTAGACAAATTCAATGTTAAGCCATTAAAAATAAAGAAACAAGCTTCTGAAAATTCACTACAAATGACAAAAGGCTGTGAAACATCTCACAGTCCTCGAACGCCTTTCCCCCAAGACCAAAAAGGTTCCGTCCATCTCGCACCAGAGCATTTCCAACCTCAAAATCTCACATTCGCTTTTCTCCGTATAGGACAGAAAACAAATACCTACTTGAAGCGGACTTTCTCATCCATATCCACAGGGGGCTCATGTGTGATGAGGTTGACCAGCTCCTCCATGCAGTGCTGCTGGCAAAGGAAGTCCAGCAGCTTGCGGTTCTGAGCCTTGCACTCCTGTAAGATGTCATCTTCATCCATCAGCTCGTGAAGTGTCACATCTTCTTTATCCAGCAGCTTGTCCACATGCGATGTTGTGTTCAAATCAAACTTCCAGAACATGTTGATGGGACACAACTAGCTGTAACACATAAGAATATGAGTGAATATTCCATCTTTGCTACTTATTCCTCCTCTGTATATTCTGAGCAGCACGCCTTAATGTAACTGCCAGAGAGCTTGGAAAAATCAGTTAAACTCCATAAACAAATTTAACAACCTTTACCACCAGCAAACTAACATGACTTAGATTATATAATTGTATAATATCAACAATGGACACAATATATGCATGAACTAACTGTAACTGCAAGTACCTTGAATAAAAAAATCAAAGAGTATGTTCATGCACAGAAATGTTGGATTAGAGTCAAGGCTGTTCAGACAGGGAAACCACGCTACTGCACTACAAACAGTTTGCATTAAAGGGTTTGGGGGGGGATTGGTGTTATTTGTATCGCAGAATCGTGCTCATCAGCTAAAATTGCAACAATCAATGACTTACCTGAGTGGAAGACAGACCTCCAATGTACACATAACAGCAAGAGATAAAGAGAGATAGGCCATAATTGGAAAGTATTAAAAAAACCACTGGACACTGTGAGCGATAACATCAGCAGATCCAGAGCTGAACTGCTAGTAAATATAAACCTTACAGAATGCTGGAATATGCTCTTAATCGCACAAACAGCACAGAAGTGTGTAAGTAATAGTGAGTGGTTTTTGTGGGGCAGAAGTGTGTATTCTGCTGTTCCAGAGCCAGGAGTGGTGTGCAACCTGCGCTGCTAGGTCTGCAGCTCCGGGACCATCAACCTCCCCGAGATGCCGAGCGGGGACGAACACAGCAGGTCGCTGGGCTGCACCGTTAGTAGAAAGTTCCAAAATTCTGAACTCTAACCTTACTGGGGGAAAAAGTACGGCTTAGAGAATGGTGATTTATATTACCTAGAGGGCATACGGCTGGGCAGCTAACGTTTCGTCTGTAAAATAACGCCCAAAGTCTATTCTCAACCACCTCAAAACAGACAATATGGAATCTCCACGCGCCCACCTCTCAACCAGAGTGGATTCACACATTTTACTACATCCTGGGATTGGGATTTACAGATGTTTACTAATACCAGAAATGCCAAAAGGATGCTATAAATCAAAGCTAGAAGCAGAAACCAAAGGAATGGCCTCCTTTCCCTGCATGTTCTGGACCTCATGCGCTCGTAAATACTTGCTGAAGGGAAATCCTCCTCACCATCACCTTCCCTCCCACAAGTTTCACATGGACATTTTACATCCTCCCAACTAACTACAAAAGATTTTCATACAGTTCTTTGCAAAAGTGCTAAAAGCGAGATGTGGCATGTAACAAAAAAAGGCTAACTCTTAAGGCCTGACTTGGGCTGGCCTAGTCCTGCAGAACCACAGCAAGTCACCTTTCAGCAGCAGCGATCGCACCCCGCCAGCTGCGTTCTTTGTCCCCAGGCAGCGTGTGGGGACCCCCTCCACCCCGCTCCAACGGCTCAGACCGTCCCCCCCGACGTCCCCTCTGCATCTGCTGCACTTCGCAGGAGGCTTCAGTGTCCGACCGGAACCATGTGCTGTATCTCAGATGGGGTTTCACTCTGCCATGGACAGCAGTGAGAATATTCCCCTCCAAATCATTTTTGCTAAGTATACAACATCGCACTTTGTATTCCTCATTTACATCCCACTCCTAACGCTTTCTTTCCTTTGTTTTCCTGACTTTTCTCCATGTGAGCTCTATGAATTACGTTTTTCCAGTTAGCTTCCCCAATGCACCACAACTTTTAGAACAGTCATTAACGATATCAAAACCAGACAGTGTTCAGACTGATCCCTAAGAAACTCTCCCAGTGGTCTTCCTCCCGCTTAATATTCTTCTCTTAGCATTCTGCCCTTTACCAGCTCGCCTCAGGACCTGGCTAGTTCACCTCAATTCCTCAATGAGCTGTAACCTTCACAATCCTGCTCTGGCTGTCACACCGCATATCTTAATGATCTCCAGAAAGAAACAAGATTTACTGAATTTCTTTTATTTGCAGTATCAGCTGCCAAAGAAAGAGCCCAGATTAGTCTGGCACAATTTAAATTACTGATTTTAATTTCATTTTTTTTTATTATCATGTCTTTTTCTGTTCCCTACAGGGAGGAAACGAGGAGCAATCTTCACTCTTCCCCAGTAACGCTTTCGGTATCTTCAGAGAGTACAAGATAACTCCAATTCCTCAGCAGCAGACGTTTGTACTTCAAAAAGCAGCCAAGTCATTTAACTATCTGAGAATCTGAGTACAGCCTTTCATCGCTGGCTTCCGTTTAGCGTTTCAGACTAAATTCCTCCCCAGACACCGTCTCATCCTCGCTCAAAGCCCGTGGCTCCACTACGCGTACAGAAGCCTGACGAAAGGGAGGATGAGCTTCTGAAGGCAGGAGCCTGTGCAGGCAGAGCCGGTGCGCTCCAGGGTCAGTATGTCAGAGACCACGAGGAGATGGCATCGGAGATCAGAGATGGTTTCAAGAAATAAACGATCATTCACGTTAAAGAAAGCAAGAGAATAACTGTTATTCCCCACTGGCAAAGGTGAGAGGCATAGCTCAAACAAGAGAAACATTCTGTGTAATAATATCATTAAGCTAAAACACGTTTTATAAAATGAAGTAAATTGGATGAGATGCCAGTGTGCTGCTTTCCCAGATTATTTCTATACAAGCATGTGATTTTATACAGCGGGATCACAATGCTTTTTTTAACCTAACCCACATTACTATTTCCGCAGCAGCAGGAACACTTGCTCCAACCATTCATTTCGCTTTCTCCAGCATCCAAAAATGTCACCACACCAGTCCCACCGCTTGCGTAACTACATCCAAGGCAGAATTCTGAAATTATCCTTTTTAAAAACCAAACAGAAACCACCACTTTCTTCCTCCAGGAAGGTTTGCTGCAGAAGGGGGGCACTGCTTTCCAGTCACTGCAGCCAGGCGATTTAAAAGGCTATCTGAAGACCTAGATTTTTTAATTACGTGTTTAAATATCTGGGGCCCTCGCAGTGTAACTTTCACACCGAACCTCCAACTGAAGGGTTTACAGGAAATACTAAATGAAACACAAATTTTACAACAGTCTTTCTTTTCATATTTTTACCAATTATCTTATTGAGATGCATTTTCTGCCATACCTTAGTTCAAAGATTCTTCATGTGTGCATGTGAAGGATCTAAGGATCTCTAAAAGGAGGATGACCTGGTGAAATTAAGGCTGTTTCTTTCTTGGACTAGCTCCGTTACCCAGATATTCAATAACAAACTCCATGGAGCTCCACTCAATGCTTCAAAATTTGTCACAGATAACTTTTCTATTTCAGAGAGCTTTTTTCCATGTCAATGTAATTCTTTTCATGTCTTTATCTCAAACATTTAGAAGAAATCAAGAAAATCTTTGCAAGTTTCTCTTTTGTGACACAACATTGCTGATACGATAAAGCCCTACTTGTTGCAAGACAGGATTATAAAGGGGACATTTAAGCTAGGAAGGATCAGGCCACCCAGAGTACTGCCTCATCTTCCCGCAGTCCTCCTCTACACCACGTTTACTTGCTGGCTTTGGACTTCCAGCATTCTGAGGCAGAGCTCACATACACGTTGCGGGGAAGTACATGGCCTGGAGCCCAGCAGGAACAGAACCGAGACCCTGGTCAAGCAGCACGCCTAGAACACCACTTAATACTTAACAAAGTTCCTCTGAAAAATCAGGAGTCAACTACTTCCAGTCAAACCTACAGCATCGTGTTTCTTGTAAAGCTCCCCACGAGTATCCCAAGGCTACAGGCTTTATTCACGGTGGGCCCAAGCTCAGAGTTACGGGGAGGGAAGTGGGGAGGTGCTATCCAAACCAAAGGCTTACCCAGACCTCCCCCATCGCCCATCCATGTGTTTCCTAACACTCTTCCAAACTGCCAGATTGGTTAGCTTAGGTCGAGCCTAGTCTTTTGGGAACCAGTCCTCCCAAAAACCAGCACAATACATGGCAGAGAGAGAAGCAGTTTCTAATTTGAGTGGTTTAAATCAACAGTATATTGAATTAAATAAAAAAAAGAAGTTAAGTTTTAGTATTACAGCATCAAGCAAGATCTTCTGCATCCATCCGTCAGCCACTGAAAATGCACTCAAGTAACTGAATTTCTGAGTTGGGAAGAGACATCTGAATTTTCAACCTACGTGACATTTCTGTGACAGTAGCGCTGTTTGGCTGTATAGCGTGTTCGTTACACACTGTTCTTCAGATATTTTTAACTAACTATGCTTAGTTATAAATTCACCAAGTGAAAAGCTGGCATAAAAGGCCTTAAAAATTAAGAATGTTTGGGTGCACAGTTAACCCAAATACATATATATTCCATATATATGTATGTAGAATACACACGTAAATCTCACTTTTCAAATTTAAACTCATTATAAACCTGTCGATTCTACAGTTTTTTAAAACTTTTTATACCTCTATAGGCAAAGCTGTCTATAATCTATAGAAGACACTCTGATAAGCTGTCCTTAGGAAAGGCAGACAGCTCTTCTCTCAACACAGAGCAGGCAGATCCCCTTCCCAACCTCCTCCTCAAAGCAAAGGCTGAGGAGAGTTTCTGGACAAGCTGGAGAGTTGGGCAAAGAGGAACCAAGTGAAATTCAACAAGGGCAAGT